AGCATGTGCTTTTCAGAGCCCTTCAGCTGGGGGTGAGCTTGGCTTGGGTGAAAACATGGTGACGCTCAGGAGTTGGGCGTGAGATGAATCAGAAGCTAAATCCCACAGGCTCTTGGAGATCATGTTAAGATTTTTGGCATTTTTGTCCAAGGTCAATAAAAATGGCTCTACCATATGATCAAAGTCAAATTTTAAAAAGATAACTGACCGTTGTGTTGAAAAACAATTATTAATAGAAGGGGACAAAAAAGAAGGTGGAGGTAACACCTGGGCAGCTATTTAATAGTCCAGTGGTGTCTGCACCAAGAAGGCGGTGATGCAAATGGGGGTATTTTAGAGCTACCATTTGCAGCTCTTTCTGTACCTTGCCCACCCCATCTCTGCCCCGCTGGAGTGGAAGAGACAGGAAGACACCTACAAGAGCAGAACTCCTACACACCATGCTTAGTGATAGCACTTCTGGGAATCACAAGGATTAAATGTCCATTACATCAAGTTTATCATTATTTGCTTTTTTTTACGTGGTACCTGAATTGACCACATTTCCTTTGATAATTGTTTTTGATGAGGAGATGGAAAAAGTCACTCTCATAGCACCACCTTGTGGACAGTGGTGAGAAGTTTTAAAATTGGGTTTAATAGCTGAAATAAAAATAGCTGAAAAAAAAATTAAAAAAGACATACCAAGTTCTCCTGAAACTTTCCTAGTTATCAGCCACCCTGTGTCCTACTTGGAAAGGGATGGGATATGAACGCATTCAACAGAATTAATTTCAGCTCTGAACCTCACAGAAGAGTTCAATCTTGTCTGACTCTGCGATCCCACGGACTATAGCCCGCCAGGCTCCTCTGTCCATGGGATTCTCCAAGCGAGAATACGGGAGTGGTAGCCATTTCCCTCTCCTGGGATCTTCCTGACCCCCCTTCTTTCTGGTTGGGTTTTGACACAGGTCCCTGGAAAGGCCTTTTATTTAGATACCAGTTGAGGGTCACCTCCTCTGTCTCTGGCTGCGGCTGCTTTTTTTCTTTTCCGGGCTCATTGGAACTTACTTGACCACTAACAATGGGATTCCTCTGGGCTCAGATCCAGGCCATCTCTCTAAACAGTCTCCTCAGGGAAATTCACTCCCTACCACCGCGTTCCTCACCATCAGGGCCTCCCGAGTGTGTTTCTGTGGTCAAACCTCTCCTGTGAGACCCATAACCTGATTTCTAACCTGCTATTCTACCTCTCCACATGAATCATGGTTTCACAGCCAGGACTTAACTTGGGATTTCGTCCCCTCCTAACCTGCTATTCTTTCAGTGTGTTTTTCAATTCGACGAAGGCACACACATCCATCCAACTTTCAAACCTGGAACTCAGAAACCAGTCCTGCTGCCTCCTTCCCCGCCGTGTTCTGCCCCCACCCGCCCCCAGCATCAGTCTCAGGCCTTGTCTGCTTTACCCACCCGGTAGATTCTCTCGAGTGGCCCCCTGGGTCTGCCTGAACTGCTCCCGCTTTGCCCTGGCATGTCTCGTCTAGATCCCCGCTGGAGTCTTCTCACGAGTCCACTGTGGGCTCTCCCCACTCTCCACACTGAGACATCTTCTCAGAACGCACATCTTCCCACCCTTGGGCAGGCCACGGAACCTTGCAAGGCTGCCCGCGCCTCCTCATCCACAACGCCTGGGCTGCGCCCTCCCCTGCCCCTCCAGCTGCTTCCCAGCCGCGCTGCACCTCGCCTTCTGCGCGGCGGTCCCACTGGCTCTGATTCCTGGACTCGTTCGCCGCAGGGATTGGCACCTGCTCATCCCTCTGCCCCGCCCCTGCCTCTCACCACTCAGCCTCCCCACCTCCGTTTAACCGTCTGCTTCTCAGAGATGTCTTTCTCCGAACTTCCAGGCCTTGCTTACGAGCTATTGCATGCCATGGATCCCCTCCCTCTGAGCACTTATCTCAGTTTTCAAGTTTTTACTCATCACAGTGGTTTCTTGATGAATGCCTTCACCTCAGAAGAGCTCCAGAGAGAAGAGGGCCTGTGGCTGGGGTTGCTCGCTGTGTGTGTCTAGCACCCAGGCGAGTGGGTGACATGGGGGATGTTTAACAAGTTCCCTGAGTGAGTGAACAGTTGTGTCTCTAAGGCCCTGACAAGGCCATCACCACAGTCCACCACGTATATCCACAGTCTGTGTTATTTTTCAGTCGCTAAGTCTTGTCTGACTCTCTGCGCCCTCATGGACTATAGCACACCAGGCTCGTCTGTCCTCCACCGTCTTCCGGAGTTTGGCTCAGAATCATGTCCATTGGGTCAGTGATGCCATCTAAACGTTTCGTACTCTGCCACCCCTGTCCCCTTTTGCCTTCAGTCTTTCCCACGTTGATTTTCACTCTTGCCATCTCCTGCTTGACTATGCCCAGTTCACCTTGAGTCATGGACCTGACATTCCAGGTTCCTCTGCAAAATCGTTCATTACAGCATCAGACTTTACTTTCCCCACCAGACACATCCACAGCTGAGCATCGTTCCTGCTTGGGCCCAGTCACTTCATTCCTTCTGGAGCTGTTAGTAATTGCCCTCCGCCCTCTCCCAGTAGCATATTGGACAACTTCCGACCTGCGGGAGCTCGTCTTCCGGTGTCATATCTTTCTGCCTTTTCGTACTGTCTGGGAGGTCCTCCAGGTGAGCGTACCGGATGGGTTGCCGCTCCCTCCTCCAGCGGGCCGCAGTTTCTCAGAACTCTTCACTGTGACCCACCCGTCTCGGGTGGCCCAGCACTGCATGGCTCATAGCTTCATTGAGTTACACAGTCTCTTTGCCCTGTCAAAGCTGTGATCAATGAAGTGGATAGTCTGTGTTATTCACTCATAGATAAAACGAGGCTCAGGTGTGGCTAAAGGTTGCACATAGCCTGGAGAAGGCAAGGGTATTTCAGCCAGGGAATTTCAGGCCTGCCTGTGACCTGGCTTGGTCCCACCTGGTCTTGTGACATTGGTGAATGTACACTTGACAAAATGATACATGCATCTTTGCTAAGAACAAGCATTAATTTTGAGGGACAAACCAAAAGGATTTGCCATCTCCTCAGGGACATGGTCTCACTAAAGAGATGCTCAGTTTAGTAACTATTCAGAAAAATTATCATCTCTGTCTTCAAGCAAATACGTTTTCCTGCTTCATGTTTTAGAAGCTGACAAGACAATTAAAGTCATTTATCTCAAAATACAGAGAGTTCAAAGGTGAACTGATGGTCCTAGGAAATTTCTAGCTACTTAAAGAAAACATGTTTCCACCTTACCAAAAAAATAAAAATATTGTTTATAAGATGAAATAAACACTCATTTCACTGAACATTGACATACAAAGTGATTAATACCTTTCTGTGTCAAAATGATTATACAACTATATATAAAACATGTTCTTAATCTTTATTATTTTGCTTGTTAATAAGTTTGTTCCAGGAATAATGAGACATTAAAACAGCATATAAAATATGGCAAAATGCGTAAATTATAAATTAGTTTTCCAATGACTCAGTGGTAAAGAATCTGCCTGCCAATGCAGGAGACACAGGAGACACGAGTTCGATCCCTGGGTCAGGAGGATACGCTGGAGGAGGAAGTGGCAACCCACTCGACTATTCCTGCCTGAAAATCCCATGAACAGAGGAACCTGGCAGGCTACAGCCCATGGAGTCCTAAAGAGTCAGATAAAACTGAGCATGCACATGTAGATCAATGCACACGAAGTCCAAAGACAAATAGGGTAGAAATAGAAAATAGATTTGATATGAGGCCGATTGAAAAAGCACCTTTCGTAAGGACGAATGTGCGGCCAGGCCACGCTGCCACACCACAGTCTCCATCACAGTCATCCTGCCTTTTTTCTTCCACAGAGCTCTGATCATGTCCTGGTACCGAGACTTCTGTGCTCAGGCCTGGAGGAGAACCACGGTGGACCCAGCAGAGTCACATGGATCCCTAACTGGCTCACGCTTGTTAGAGAGGAACGTCCTCACTGTGAGACACTTTTAGTGAGGTCCCTCACTTGTGGCTGGGAGCTTTCTGACCGATATACTCGCTAGGGTTCTCATTAGGCTCTAAGTTTTCCAGCAGTCCACACCGAAAGGGATTTAATTAGAAATAAGTCAGTGTTCATAAAACCGAAACAGGCCTGCACCTCAGGAAAAGCACAGTATTGCTAAGACTAAGAAATAGGCTGAGGATCTGTCAGGATCCGCTCATTTGTCCGATGTATTTAAAATCCCAAATAGAAGCATCAATGATAAGGATACTGAAATCAGCAATCGAAGCCAAATTGGCTTTCTCTTTTGACATAATTTATGATTCACCTTGAAGTTTCATTTTCTACATGCTTCTTAAGTTAAAACATTATTCTTGGGGCCAAAAGAAAATGCATTTAACAAATTAATTTGGACAATGGATGCAGAAAAGTTGTTCTTTGCAAACTAAAGTTTGGCTTGTGAATAAGAAACCCTACATCTGTGAGTCGGTAGACCAGTGCAGTGGGTAGGAGAAAGGTCTAAATGGTTCCCATGGGCTTCTTTTAGAAAGAATATGTATCTTGCTCTGTGTATTTCTTCAGAAAAAGTGCAGGCATTTAACAGAACAAGGAAAGATCAAGTTCTAAAAAGAATTGTTTTCCCCTTTGAACAATGACGGAAGAAAAGATTTTACTTTTGTATATAATTTTATTTTGGTTAGGAATCAGGCTTCTCACAGTATGTTTGTCCATCTGTATATTTATATCCAGGGGCTTCCCAGATGACTCAGGGAAAAGAATCCACCTGCCAGTGCAGCAGACGTGGGTTTGATCCTTGGGTCAAGAGGATTCTCTGGAGAAGGAAATGGCAACCCAGTCCAGTATTCTTGCCTGGAAAATCCCATGGTAGAGGAGCCTCGTCGTCTACAGTCCATGGGGTCATAAAGAGTTGGACCTGACTGAGCACACACCCATTATTTACATTCAACTTATAAAGAAATGAAGGAAACATAGCACTGATGGAAAGAATGTCTCCTGTGTGCTCACAGGATGGTTTGAACCCACAGCCAACTACAATAGCCAGCCTACCAGGAATAGCCCCCGCTTCAAGCCCATTTACTATTTAATGACAAGAACTTGCTAATGTGGGCACTTTGAAATGTAACCTTGGAAAGGAATGCTCTTCATACCAGGAAATCTTTGAGAAGGCTTGAGTTCTTGCCATAACTGAAAATCTAATGATGTATTACCGATGACTTCATCCCCAAATGAAAGCTAGCTCCCCCCTTCCGTAATCCCCAGGGAGAATCACACTGAGGAGAGAGGAATTTGGAAACAACAAGAAGGAAAGAGACTTCAGTTTTTCCTTTGAATAAAAATGAGGAACCAGTCTATATGAGCATAAAGGATACACCTTCCAGACCCTGAAGTAAGGGTTCTGTGTGTCTCCAACAATACCAGTAGTAACTGCAGAGAGTTCATAGAGACAAAAGAAAAAGCATACCACTTGTGGGAGTGTTTTGGGTGGGGCTCCTGAATAAGGAACATAAACTGAAACGGTCTTCCCCAAGTTAGGCTTTTGTGTCCCCATACCGCTGCTGCTTCAGACTTAATTGTACATCTGGGCTTCCTCTTTAGAAAAAGGGAACAGATCCATTCCAGTTGATGGTGGCATCTCTCCACTTGCTTCTGATCACCATCTCCAGTGGGGAAAACCGTCTTCCTGGGCTGTGTTCATCTTCGTGTTGGACTCTTTCCCAGTGGTGGGAGTGAGTGTCTGAGGAAGGAATAGCCAACATTTAGACCCCAGCCTATGTATACCATTTCAGAAGAAGCCAGGAAAGAAGGAAAATAGGATGAGTGGGCAGGAGTTGGGCCCAGCAAGCTGTGTCCCTAGAAGTGAGTGAGCGGATGGGGATTCCCATAGACGGTGTGTGGATATGCCCCATGCAAGACATGTCCATGATAGCCTGGGTTGTTGTAGATTTTGAAAACTCAGTATTTATGTCATGCTATGGTGTGGTCCCGTACCGTGATGGGACACATAGAGTTAGGGTGTATCAATAAATCAGAGTGTTGCCAGGAAAAATAAGAAAAGAGAGTTTCTCAATACTAAGAGTACATTTGAATTTTGGGGTGAAGTGCAAGTATTCTCGTGAGGTAGTCTAGAACTGAGTTCAAGGCCCAAGTTTGTCACAAATGACCTTTGGGAAGGTACTTAGTATCTCTCAACCTCATCCATTAGAAATCATTTTTTGGCCACTTCAGTTTCCTCTATGTAAAATAAGTATCATAGTGTCTACTTTAGATGACTATTAGGAGGATTAAAGGAATAATGTATGTAAGGCTTTCAACACATTGCCTGGAACACAGTGCTTGCTATGTGTGGGAGCTAATAAAAAACAAAAACAAAACAAAACAAAATCCCAGTGCTTTCCTCAAAGACGAGAGTAAACTAGAAGCAATACTAGTAGAAAAGTAGAAACAATAATGTATCTTAAGGAGTGTATTGGCAATGTCTCACTAAATGATTAGGTGTGTGCATATATAATATACATTTTTCTGGGTTCATATATATATATCTCTGTACACACACACACGCACATATATATATGTGTGTGTATTGGGCTTCCCTGGCGGCTCAGACGGTAAAGAATCTACCTGTAATGAGGGAGACCTGGGATCAATCCCTGGGTCGGGAAGATCCCCTGGAGGAGGGCATGGCAACCCACTCCAGTACTCTTGCCTGGAGAATCCCATGGGCGGAGGAGCCTAGCGGGCTACAGTCTTTGAGGTCGCAAAAAGTTGGACGTGACTGAACGACTAAGCACATGTCTATGTATACACATATACACAAACATAAATTTCTCATAATTAAAGAAAAAGAATTAGGAAATACACAGACAAAACAGTCACTAAAATACTATTCTAAATGTAGTCATAATAATGAAAAGTTGCCTAAAGCCAGACCTGTGATACTAAATGCAAAGAGTCAGACATAAATCAGCAAGGTTCCATGCGTGGTGCCTTGGTAGCAAATATGGGCTTCTGGTTTCATGATGTTTATTCCCTTGTCCAAAAGGCTAGTGTTTAAAAACATCTTAGGGTTAATCTTTTTTCCTCATGTTTTTTAAAGAAATATGGTGGGGATTGGAATGAAATGGCTTGTATGATCACACTGTGCCTTGTTGCTTTCCTAGTGTCTGGCACATACCTGGTGCTTAGTAGGCCTCACAAATACTTTTTGAACTGATCTGAATACACATGCACTCTCAGTGTAGTTACTGTGTTCTGGGATGATCGATAATCTGATACTCTGTCTTGGGATTAGAACTCATCAGTTGGAACCCCAAGGTTACAATGCTTAGGTTCGACCCGTGACGTTGAAGCCTAGGTTTCATGTCAGAGGTCAAGCCTCCACGTCTTCCTGCAGAGCTAGGCCAAGCATCCACACAGCTGTAACCCAGCCCAGCCTCGGCTCTCTGAGCACCCTGAGCTGAGGGCACTGGGGTCTGGCGTGCTCACCCACGGTAAGGCGCGCAGGCTTGTTCTGTGCAGGCTGGCCGTTGTAGAAGTACAGATCAAAGAGGCGCTCCAGTCTCCAGTCTGATAAGAGCTGCCTGTTTGTGCTAAACAGGACGCTGTAAGTTCCGTTGATGTTGCACAGCCAGACGGGTAACTTGGGAGTCTTCAGCATGCTGCCCACCTGCAGGAGGAGAGAGGAACGCAGGTGGACGTTAGATCTGGCCGCCTACGACAGAACACGTCACCAGGATCAAAGAGCGGCTCGGGGACTTCTCTGGTGGACCAGTGGTTAAGACGTCGCCTTCCAGTGCAGGGGGCATGGGTCTGATCCCCGGTAAGGGGGAGCTAAGATCCCACGTGCTTCACAGCTAAAAAACCAAAACACAAAAAGCCAGAAGTAGTACTGTGACAAATTCAATAAAGGCTTAAAAAAAAATTTTTTTTTTTTAAAGGCAGCTCAGAGACTTGGCATTGTGCTTGTAGCTGGGCAGGGCCCTGTGCATGGAGGGAGATTTCAAACAAAGGCTTTCTTGTGAATGAATTTGCGTTTATGAATGGTGTGGTGGTAATGCTCCAGTTTTTCTCTTCACGGATTTTATTTTAAAACATGTTGAGGGTGGGCTTATGGAGCTGGTGGAGCCATCTCAGTTTCGTTTGTTAGTGAGGTGGAGAATAAATAGACTGAAATAGAAGTGTAGGAATGGAATATGAGAACTTGAACTGGTCTTTTTGTTGACTAGTGTACTTATTCTTGTTCCCAAGATAGGACAGTATTTCATTCAGCAGGTGGTCATTCTGGCAGCATTAACCATTTAGATCATAGGAAAAAGAGCCTAGAATATGGGAAGAGAGACTATTTTGAATACAGAAAAAAGCTTCTGGGAAATGAGTGGAGCGCACACAAACAGTCTCACAGATATACACGTATCTGCGTGTTAACATGTAGATCAGTCGTGAAGATGTACTTAGAGCTGAGTGTACTGGTTCAATATTACGTATAATATTAAGCTCATATTTATTTGTTTTTGGTTGTGCTGGATTTTTGCTGCTCATGGGCTTTTCTCTAGTTGCGGCACGTGGGGGCTACTCTCAAGTTGAGGTCCAAGCGCCTCTCTTTGCAGTGGTTCTCAAGGAGCACAGGCTATAAGGGGCACGAGCTTCAGTAGTTGCAGCCCCTGGACTCCAGAGCACAGGCTTAGCTGTTCTGTGGCATGTGGGATCTTTCTAGATCAAGGATTGAACCTGTGTCTCCTGCATAGGCAGGTGGATTCTTTCCACTGAGTCACCAGGAAGCCTAAGTGCAGTGTTTTACTCAGCTTGCTTTCTGGTTTTTCCAGGCAACTATCAATTCAGCCTTGAATTCTCAGGCTAGTGAATTCGATTCGCCAAAGTGCCACTCTGGGAGGCTCACTAGTTAAGGGTCCTGCATCCTCCGGTAACCCCTGAGAATCGTTGTTGCTGTTCAGTCTCTAAGCCATGTCCAGTTCTTTGCGACCCCATGGACTGCAGCATGCCAGACTTCCCTGTCCTTCATTGTCTTCCAGTTTGCTCAAACTCATGTCTGTTGAATCAGTGATACTACCTAAACATATTATCCTCTGTCGCCAGCTTCTCCTCTTGCCCTCAATCTTTCTCAGCATCAGGGTCTTTTCCAATGAGTCAGCTCTTTGCGTAGCCAAAGTATTGGAGCTTCAGGATCAGTTCTTCCAATGAATATTCAGGGTTGATTTCCTTTGGGGTTGACTGGTTTGATCTCTTTGCAGTCCAAACATGTGAGGGTATCAGGATTATAGTGTGTTTTTCTTAATGATATCTCCCATTTTGTTTAAAGAGGCAGGGAAGCACATTTTTTTTTAATGCCATTGAAACTTATTAATGTTTTTTAAGAAACACTCTTTTTTGTTTTGTTTTTTAAAAACACATAGAGATTAATGTGAGCTACATGGAAACCCCAATCATTTCCCTCAATGCCAGGGAGAGCTCTGGACCCTCAGCTGTGGCGTATCTTCCCGTAACAAAAGGATTCAATTCTGTTTCTTTTCTTCTTGGTCCTAAGAGTTGTGCTGTGTGTTCAGGAACAAATTCTGTTGCATGGAAAATCCAGCTTTGAAAAAATGACTGCGTGTTTTGTCAACCCAAGTATTAAAGGCTAGTAACTTGACATTTTGATTTCTCAATCGTTCTATTCAAATCCCTTCCTTCTTCTAGAGTTGAAATTCTTCAATTGTGGGTGAGTGGGTGAATCAGAGGTGCTTTTGTCTTTAAACTTTACTCTTTAGCTCCTGGAGAAAAATTATACTACTGTGTTTAAAAGAAATGACCTCAGTTTTAGTTGATAGTCGAAAAAAGGGGTGTAAGCCCAGCACCCCAGTCTGGACATGCTCACAGGGGGCATGCTCATCTGCTCACATCAACACCAGCCCTCCCTGGACTGAGTACAACACACCAAACTTGGGCAATTCGCCCACTGGCTACAATGGAAATAAAACACACAGGATGTGCCATTGAAAGCAACCCCATGTATTTACACCCCAGAATCCACCCCCCCCCCAATTCCAAAGAATGTCATCACCATTCATTAGTTATAAAAGAAGCTCTTTCTTAGGCCTTCTTGCAATAGTACTAAGGTTATGTGTAAATATGATCTGCAGGACTTGGAATTATTAAGTTTGAAAAATATGGATAAACTAACTAGGAACCTGAGGGCTGCTTGTAATAAGATGCCATTCCATTTGACTCCAGATGCATATTCTGGCTGATTTTAAATCCGTGATGGTAACTGCAAATGATGTATGGGTGGATGTAATCGACTGTAGGCATACATGATATTGTTTCACAAAATCTTTGTGACGTAGGCAAAATTCAACTAGAGCTCAGATTCACACTCGGTAAGGTGTGGCCACTGCGCTGTTGTGATTTTATGCAACAATGCAACAGTTTTCTCTCCTGAACTCAAAGCTACTCATGATCTTATTAAAGTAGGAGGAAAACAAAGGAGTCATAAATATAACAATCTCCAGCACTCAAAGTGACCATTCAGAGACCCTGCATTGAGCAGGCAGAGTCCCACTTGCCCTGAGAGATTCTGGTCAAGAGAAATATGTTTGTCACAGCACTTTAGGTTTTAACTCCAAGAGGTGAGCCTCAGGTTACAGCTTAGAACATGCTTGGTTTGAAGGGAGTCCTGCAGATCCAAAACTGAGCACCTCCCAACTGAACCCAGTCAAATATCAAAGCCCTTTCCTCAAATAGTGGAATCGGTTTGACTGGCATCTTCAGTTAAGAATATGTATTGCTTTGGGATAGACACAATTGATCAGCTAACCTCCCCACAAAAGAGAATTCTAAGTATGTTTTACTGGTGAGATGTCATCAATGCAGAATTGGTGCATGTTGCCTCATGTTGCCATGGTAAAAAGGAAATTAGATTGTGATAGAGTGGTGCTATAAATAAAATACCTTTCTCCTTAAATTCACTCATTGTGTAATAAGCCCAGTCAGTTCAGCCTCCCATGCGGCAATCAAACCTTCCATAGCAGGTGTCATTAAAGGTAAAGTTACAAAGATAGGAAGAAGGGACAAATTCTAAGCACCAGAGAGTGAGGATCCATCCGTCCACGTGGTGGCTTAAGTGGTAAAGAATCCGCCTGCCAAGGCAGGAGACCTGATTCGATCCTTGAGTCAGGGAAAACCCCTTAGAGGAGGGAACGGCAAACCACTCCAGTATTCTTGCCTGGAAAATCCCATACACAGAGGACCCTGGTGAGCTGCAGTCCGTGGGGACGCAAAGAGTCGGACATGCCAGTGACTCAGCGCTAGCATAGGCCGGTTCTGGTTCTAGAACAGTGGCTCCTAGAACACGCCTCTGCATAAGGCGTTGACGTCCCAGGGCCCATCCGGGGATCTGATTGGGAGAAAGGTGTGCAAATGCTGGGCTTTCTTCGCGGATTCCTGGTGACGATTCGCATGCATGGCTCTTCACAGTCTGGCTCTCATCTCTGCCACCCGGAACACGAGTTGATGGAACTTCTCTCAGCGAGCTTGCAGGGGTTTTGTCATGTTTTCCGGGCGCTACCCCAGCGACTCAGGGGTAGAGAACAGTGGGTGGAGTTTCATCTGGGACTTTCAGTGTTGGATTTCTTCCTGTCCATCTCTTTAAAGGGAAAAATGTAAACAGGGAAGAAGGTAGGACTCAGATGGTGATGTGCTCTGCCAAGGCTGTCGGGGGAATAATTCCAGCAAGACCTAAATGGCTTCAGTGCCTTCTAAAATTCAGAGTTGATATTTCTTCTCGGTGGCAGGTGCGAAGATAATGTGAACCTCCTAAGGTTTTCCAGATGGTGTTAGACTCAAACTGCTTTATGCTCTCACTTAGGTATTGGAACTTCACACTCAAACCTGTCCCTTCAAATAGAAAAGTGATGGCAGGCTTCAAAATAGTGCCTCTTCTTGCGGGGAGCTGGCTGTGTGCTGCAGGAACTGCCAGTCTGGAGGGTTCTGGGGGGCTTGCATGTCATCTAATGAGAGCTCCTTTTTTGTGTTTTGTTTTTTTTAACCTCACCTACTGGGCTGTGACATTGGGACTGAAAGACGTGCGTTTTCGCAATCTCTGCAATTTTATCACTGAGTTAGAAGAGATTCACTTATGGAAGACAGATGCAGTGGCGGATGAGGGGGTTTCACCGCGACAGCAGGTTCTGCCAAGCAGCACACTGATTTTCTTTTGAACTTAGAAAACTTCCTATATTAGGTTTCTCTTACCAGTGCTTACATATAATCTTCCTATTTAGAATGCCCACCGGAGGCAGGAGTCCCTAAATACCCAAAAAATGCTTATGTGCGAACTAAGTCGCTTCAGTCATATCCAACTCTTTGTGACCATGTGGACTTTAGCCCATCATGCTCCTCTGTCCATGGGATTCTCCAGGCAAGAATACTGGTGTGGGTTGCCATGCCCTTCTTCAGAGGATCTTCCCGACCCAGGGATTGAACCTGCGTCTCTTATGTCTCCCGCATTAGCAAGGGCGTTCTTACACCTTAGTGCCAATACCTACATGCATTTGGCATTTCCATGTGCAGAGTCACCATGCCTCAGAGCAGAAGGGGAAGGGAGTGACTGTGAGGTCCTCAATCCAATGATGCTTAAAGCACTGCCCTCGAACCACATCTGGTTCTTTTCTG